GGAAGCGAGAATGGTTAGCACAGCATTTGTTATGAGAACAGAGAATATGACTGTACTGAGTGATGCATTTAACAAATTTGATCCTAGTTCTTCACAAAAGAAAACCTGAATAGAAAATGTCATGGATGTAGAACATGAAATACAGGATTCCAAAAGCAAGATTACTGACGCAACAGTAAATGGATCCATGACCTTTGTATTCTACTTCTCCCAGTTCTCTCCATCAGTAAAAACCACTATGCAAACAGAGACATACTTGTCTGTGGTTGAAAACTCTTCTAAGCAGCAGCTAGTAAAAGCTACTCCAAACATCCTTCAAACACCTACTCTGTAAACTTGTCCAAGTTTCACAGTATGCATTTAAAAAAAGGGGAATCCTCACAGCTGCCACGATAAACATTAGGCAGCTGAAATCCTAGTAAAAATTGTGTCCTCGGTTAAAATAGATAATTCTGACTGGAGTCACAATACCTAAGCATATCTTTTCTTACAAGCATGGAACTACTCCAAACGCTGGAGAGGCCCTGAATAGCTACATGGCTGGATCCTCCTCTGATAACCACGGGAGACAGCTAACCTTTGGGAAACAACTCCAGGTGAGGAGGGAACTGGTATACTTCAAACCAGGCAACTCATGCAAATTGTTACAAAGAAAAGCTTTTGCAGGGGAAAGAGGATGAAGGAACCACCATTCAAACAACAAACAGTGAAGAGTATAGTAGGGTTCCACCTAAATCGAAGGGTTCAAGATAGGAGGGGAGAGAGAGAGAGAAGGGGACAAGCACCTCCCGTGTATTTACATAATCATGGCCCAGATAATTTGTGCCTTTATGTTGATGTAATGGCAGGCAAAGAGAAACCAAGTTACAGATAAAGTACACTGAGAAATGCTAGATAACATCTCATATTCCTTGTTCTAAAAGCAATGGGACATAAATTAGCCATTGGTGAAAAAAACACTTCCTACAGCCAGTATTGTCTTTCTCAGGGAGGAGGGATCAGTCTATTCCCCAAATAAATGCTGCAGAGCAGCCAACCCAGAGATACAGAGTAACTCCCAACACCAGTTCTGTATTACCAGGAGTTATTAGTGTTGCAACAGTTCTTATGCTTTAAATGTTTGAGAAATGCATTCCCCTACATCATTTATTGATCACTAGAAAGGAGGGGGCAGAAAAAAGTGAATGTAAGTTTTAAGTCTTAACAGTAATTTTTCCTTCACCCCCAAGACATTTCTTTAGGCTATCAACTTAAAACTGATTATATAAATCCTTAGATATGCATTAAAACAAAACACATTTTTCATTCAGAAGTTTTGCTACAGGCTTTTCTTCAACTGACAAAATACACAAGGGAGTGTAAAAAATATTTATTCAACCTAATTCAACATAACTATAATTTGCAATACTTAAAAACAAGATTTACAACACAGTAATGGCCTTCTGCTACTCAGGTGAAACATTTTATAATCAATACAGTATTTTTATAGTTGTATTTTTACAATAGCTTTAACTTCCAGAGGAGACAATGAGCTTTCCCATGGAACAAGTTTCAAGCCCACTAATTTGCATCTTTCAATTCTTCACAAGACTTTAAAAAACAGTAATAAATTCATTGGAAATATATACAGTGAAGACCACCCAAAAGCTGTTTTCTTGAAATCAGGAATCCTGTAAGAAATACGTATTCTGTTGTTTCAAGACTATCTTACAGAAAGCAGCAACTTTCAGAGGTTGTTCCTCTGTAGTTAGAGTTTTATATAAAAGTGAGCCCACTAAGACAAATATAATCAGCAGACTTACAAGATTATAGTAATTCTTCAGTTACAGCAAGAACCTCAAAAGTATTTGATATTGATTGAATGTATAATTTTCAATACCTGTATAGTTTTTCAATACTAGTTGGTCATTATATACACTTTTGTACAGTTCTAAAATATTACATCTCAGTAATTAAGATAAACATACTATAGAAAAAGTACCATATTTTTAATTTCTCTAACATACATTATTGCAGTCAAATATGAAGTCCATTCTGCATTTACTTCATTTCTGGTGAATAGAAATATGTACTTATGAATACTTCCACTACAAGATTTTTTTTTTTAAGGAAAAAAAAAAAATCTTTCTCCATGCATTTGACATACTAATATGAACAAGGAAAAGAAAACCCCAACTTTGAGAAAAACAAATGAATTGTTATTAAGAAAAAACTTCAAGTACTAAATCTAGGTTAGGTCTGGTGTGAATATTAAATAGCAATATTATGTTTGTCAAAATTTAACTTCACAAAACAGTTAATTTCTGTTGAAATTAAGTTTATAAATACATCAGATAACTGAAGTGCTAATGTCTCCCTCAGCTGGCTACTTTGAACATACTGTAGCAGTAAAGCTTACTGTATAAATAAGCTCATGTTTATTACATTTAAGACTTATCCTTGAGTCCTTTACAGAATGGAGCCAAGTTGTCTTAAGAGCGCGTAGCCTGCTGGTAGGTACTGTGCTCAGACTGGGAACCCAAAGTGTAGTGTCAACCCCTTCCAGCCCATCCTTCCACTAGAGCTGGTAGGGGCAGAAGGGAGCCTAGTCCCAGTAGAGAGCCCAGTTACGCACCCAGGTCTGGAAGTGCGGAAGGATGCCCTATCTGTCAGTTTAAAGGTAGCTGTAGCGTCCAATGTAGTTTCCTCACACTACTGCTCTTTGTACTTGTACAGATATTTACATAATCAAAAGGAACGTGAAAACTAAACAAATGCTCCAACGCTTAACTGCAAAATAAGCAACTAAAATTTACTTCCCCCCATGTAATTATTTTACTGTGAAGGGAAAGAAGTGCTATCCAGCACCAGTTACAAAACAGTAAAAGAGCCAGAAGAAAATAACACTAGGCACTGCAGAAAATACAACAGGACAGTAAAAGTTATCAGTGATAAAACAGTCACCTGGAAGCCATGCTGATTTCAACACCTAGTACTTAGGTGGCTAAAGCTGACACACGAGTCCTGTTTTCTCTGACCAGTCATTTGAGTATTTTACACTCCCTGTTTGATACCAGAAAAAAAACCAAGGAAATATTTATTGACTGGTGTCCCACAGTTACTTCGCCTTCGTAATGACTCACGTTTCCCTTCTAAAAAAAAATTCCTTTCATTGTGTGAAATGCTGAACTGCATGATATCGAGGGTATGAAAACATGTATAGAAAAGGCATTTGGATATAGCCTACATTAACTACACAATTTAAAATGTTCTTGTTCTATAGTTGATGCTTTTTTTTTCCCCATTCAGCATATTGGCTCAAAGACAATAATTCAGAAGCCTGTTGCCCAACAGAAATACCCAAAAATAATGAAAGCCAAGTCACATTCTGAGGTTCAGTGGTTGCTGAAAGGATTTACCCTGCCACAAGACAGTGCTTTATTATATTTAAAGAAAAAAAAAAATAGGAGCAGCAACTTATCACAATTCTCCACTACTGTGCAATAATGATGGAACCAACACAACATGGAAACCTGTTAGATGAGACTGTACGACATCGGGAGATCACAGCCTTATGCTCCATCTTGCTCAGGATAATTTAAAATTTTGCGGTGAGCTTGGCGCAAATATTGCTGCTGTTTGAAGTAAACCTTAAAAGCTCCTTTTATAGCAACAAAAGCAATTCCACCCTGAAATAAAAAGATATTTTGAAAGCCTGCACAGTTCAGTGTCATATCATTGCAAATGTTCTTTTTAAAAATTTCTGGTCAAAGAGGATTTATTTTCCTATTTTACAGCGTTTTCTTTTGAAGTTTAGCTAACTAGGACAATTCAAAATGAGTATCTCAAAGTTTTCTGTCACAATGCACTATTACAGAGGTTAGTGTTACTTAAAGGATTACATATACTGGATCTGTAAAACCTTTTGAAAGCTTTTATTTGCTGGGAAGTCTAACAAATATTAAAAAAAAAAATCAAAGCACACCCTATTTAAAGAACAAAGTAAAATGCAGATATGTATCTGCTTTCCTCCCTTCTCTGCATATATACTACACATGACACAAGGAATAATACTAATTACCATTCTTTAATCACTCTGAAAAAGGCCACTTGCCAAAAGCAAGTGTGGAGTGACATAAAATCTGGTTTTTGTAAAACAAACTTTTTTTTCCCCCCAGAAAGTTTTACAGTATGTTTATCTCAAGACTTCAAAATAAGAAGAGACACTAAGCTGCTTTTAGTCTGCATGAGCAGCTGTAATATCACCGTTTCTTCCATGTGGAAGAGAGGGGTGCACTAACGCGTTGGAGCTGAAAAAAGAGGCTGAAGTGGCAGTCCGATGACACCACTGTACCAGACTGGGTGTGCTTCCCCTGGGAAGGCTGCAGGCCAGAGGTTATTCACAAAGGAAGAGATTGTCTCCTCTCTTTGTCCTCCCCCCTCCATTCAACTTTGATGGAGAGTTTCTTTTTCTCTCCTTATTAAAATAAGTAACAAAGGGATTCTCTCAAAGAATTAGTAAACAAGCTAATATGAAAAGGTTGATAATATAAACCCCAGTCTTCCCTTGCAGAGATTGTTCTTAGAAGATGCTGGTTCCTCATCTTCATTATCACCCTTAATTACTGCTAAGATCTGCCTAGTACAGTACCAGATACAAGTTTCAGCCTTGTCTAAAATTGAGATTAGTTTCACTCACAAGGACAAAGTCTCTCACACATGTGAAGCTTGTCCACTGCCAAGACAGGCAACCTTAAAAAAACCCAACCCTTCCCTTAATCAAATGCCACTCAAGTTCTAGATCAATTTATGGTCCTTTTTGCTTTTCTTCCCTCCCCCCACAACACAACACTTCATATTCCCATATTGTAATTATTTATTAAAGAAGCAGTACTGAATCTTACCAAGATTGTCCTTTGTAAATTTGAGTTAACACTGCTGAACATCAGCTTGCCGACTATCGTGGCAATAGTAGGGAAAACTAGAGCTCCACACAGAATACGCGTGGCAGAGACGTGATCTGCCAAAGGGTTGGCCTCTGCTGGAATACGAGGAACAGGACATCCAATGCCTAAAGGGATGAGAGTGGGGGTAGAAAAGGTTACGCAGCCACTGCCTCAAACAGGACATTCGTGCCCACCCTCCACTCCCCATTACAAACCTATAGCCCAATTACTTTGAGAACTATCCCTCTTCTCAGTGAATATTCTGTTTCTCTTAAATGACTATTAATTTTTACTTTCAAATAAGACACATGATTTTTAGTAGCTCGTTTTGTTACTAAGGTCTTAATTGAAACCATGCTCCTCTTGCCCCACCTTTCTCACTAAGTACCATACAAACGATCTAAAGAGACTGAACATAACATAGAGGGAAGGTGTTACCACTTCTACTTAAGAATGGTGAAAACTACTCCCCATCTCCTAAAGGTACCAACTCAAGCTTGATATTTCATTTTAAATTTAATCACATTACCTGGAAATATGCTGTTCAAAATCTGTAGCTTATTAGAGTATTTGCGCCACAGTCTGAGCACATAGTCCTCCCAACGAATCATCTTGCCCAATATTAGCATGACTGGGATGGTGGGAAGTCCAATCAAAAGAAATAAAGGATCAGCTCTCTCCATGACATCAAGACCTTCTTTGTGGCCCACAACCTGGTAAATATGTATATTGTTGACAAATGTAAGTTACAACTGAACAAAGACTATAGCTTACAAAAATTGAAGTTTGTTCAGGGCTGCCCATACATTTTAAGTTAAAGGAAAAAAAGAATAGTTTTTTACCTAACATACTCTGTTTTCCCTTTGCATCCTAGGTTGCTTATCAAGTGTAATGCAGACAAGCTACCAGGCCTAATTTGCAAGTCATTAATCTTGCAGAGAGCTGTAACACAGTTCCTTACCATCTAAAGAGAAGTTTCATATGCTTCTGCATGAGTAAAAGCTTAAACATCTGAAATACCAAAATAGCATGCTTTCCAAATGCACAGAAGAATTAACAGGTTTAGAATTATTAATTCTACACTCAGAAATTGATTAGATGCTAGTCTTTAAAGGATAAATTGACAGCAAGTATCCCAGGGTGCTTTAATCAAAAATTTCTGTTTAGGAATACCTTAGGCAACAGAGATCACAGTATTAAAAAGCATCGCATCTCTAGGCACTGCAGGAAGAGGTACATTACTGCCAACTGTAGTGGACATAGCACATCTTCACTTGTATTTTAAATGCGGTTACTGCTACAATTTTAAAGGACAGTCATTACCAATGTGTCTAAACCTTTCTACTGGCACATAAAAAAAAATAATCAGACTTCGCAGTTTATAAAATCTACGTATTAAAACTGCAACAGAACAGTGGATTACATTTTCCTAAAAAGTACATACTTTTTATTTTAAATAAGTAACTCTAATAGGGCCAAAGACAAAAAAAAGGAATTGAAGTGGTAGATATCTTCTAGAGCTGTCTCAATTTAAGAATTACTAAATGCTAACAAAGTCCTTGAGTAGCTTCTGAAAGAATGGGCTCTTTCATGACTTTTTCCATAAGAATCCAGGAAGACTAAACCCACTAAAATAATAATTATTACATTTGTCAGGCACTGGATTTCCTGATGTGTTTTCACTGACTTCTTCTTTTCCCCACAAATGCAAGCAGCTATCAAGTCTTCACTTGCATGAAACTTAGAATTAGGTAGTAAGAACATGCAACAACAGCAAAATTTTTAAAAAGCAGTACTTCTGGAATAGGAGGGACACAGGGAAGAAGCTAAGGTAACGTACCACAGTACCTTCAAACTGTACTTTTAAGCTTTGCTTTGAAAACCATTCCATCTTATTCTTCCAGAGCAGGGTGTTATGTTATATACCACAGCCTCTAAAAATAGGGATAACCAATACTGTTGCCGCCAAAAGATTATTCCTTAAAAAAATACTCAGCATTTGTCTTCCAGCTTCTTCACTATCTTCCACCCAAATTATGATGTCTGATGCCATTTTTTTCTCCTTATAGTCCTTGCCCATCAAAAAAAAAAGCCCCAGTACCTCGTCTTTTTTGCTTTAGATTGCGATTTCTGCTTTCAGTAACCCCATATGATTTGTTACTGACTTGGCTACCACTATAGTCACAACATCATTTCTGTATTTCTCTCCATCTGAGGCTTAACCTTTACAAATAGCTTTTGTGCTTCTCTCCGGCCCTTCAACTGAAGGAAAGCAGTCTGAAATGCATCAGGAAACAAGTTGTGTTAAACACAGCAAACTTGGGGTGGCAAAGGGGGTGGAACACTTTCTCTCCACTTCCAGTTCAATCTCCTCCATTATAAGCAAAAAAAAAGTTACTCTCTAACCCAGCGTACCATCCATATGATCAAACAACCATTACATCAGAGGAAAAAAGCTAGTGCTTCGTGCCTGGGATTTGACCAGCTGTCTAAACTAACGTAGATGTTAAGCTGTAACCATGCAGTTGCTCAACTAGACCCACAACCTTTGCTTAAGGGCAGATCCTCATTTCAAAAGCAAAACTACTACAGAAAGGAGCATTTATCCTTCCATTTGTTTACATAGTTCTAGAGAAGCTAAAAAGGTCATGTAAATTCCTAACAGAAAAAGGCTCAGTGTAGCAGTGGGCAAGGAGATAAGGACCGGTACGTTTCACAAAGTCTAGTTGTAGTATTACAGGTGGTTCCAATGTTCCTGTAGCGGCCACAACAAGAACAAAATATCAGATGAGGAAATTCCTACGTGTGCCATTCTGTAAGAGACGCATCCACTGGAATGGAGGAGGTACTGAAAGCCATTACACATCACTTATGCAGCCGCTTGACCCTGGCCACACTGGTAGCAGTGTGCATCAACTTGTTTGGGCTCCACTTCAAGTGGTTGTCACATACATTTCTGCTATGAGATCACGTACAAACAAAACCAAAATAGCACACAATCTTGAGATGGAGTGACTTGCAGAACTGTAGGGCAGTGCCACACAATTCAAGAAGTAGTGGTGCCATATGACTTACATGGACAAGGACTAGGTTGCCTATTTAAAATTAGAACTGTGTAAGGGAATACTTATTAGCAACCAGATTTGCTAATTCTATCTACAACTGAATTAGCACCAGAAATACTTTTATGCTTTCAGGCAAAACACAGGTTATGGGCTTGATATAGGAATCAACAACTAAAATGGTAACCAAAGTCCTTCTAGTTGTACAGTCTATGAAAACTCTTATCTTATACTTGAACTAGGAGAGCCGTGAACAAATCATTCCACAGTTAATAGTATACCACCTGTCAATGTTATTTTTGTATTTAAATAGCAAGTTCACACGCACAGAAGTAGGAAAAATAATACTTTTTTCTTTCAACAAACTATTAATTTGCAGGGGTTTGCGTTTGTTGTTTATGAGTGACTCTCACCATTCAGAGCATGGATTTTCCTTTATACAATTAAAAAATGGTAGAGTGAAAAATTTGCCATGTCTCAACCCTTAGGAAGTTGCTAGCAAGTTTTTCTACAGGTAGAAGAGGAGATGAGCCTCATGTCTTTTCTGAAGAATTAGGCTACCCATTGTTAGTAGTTAGGTGGTAATGGCACCTTTTCTCTACGAATAGAAGTGGGCTCACCAGCGGCCCATACAAAGGGCGGCCAGCTGCAGTAGCAGTGAATGTTGTTAGTTGCAGACTGCACCACATTTGAACAGGCGCACTTGGCTTTAGACAGTATGATCGGTTAAACGTGAAAAGCTTTCTATCCACCCATCTTGAATTCACTGGTTAACTACACTGAAAGTGCTGAAAGCAGCTAAAGCATGTTTTAAGCCAAGGAAAGACGAATTAATTGACTTTTTCTTTAGAAGACTTGCTTTCGAAGCTGGTAAGAAGAGGAAATACATGTGTACCTGCATCACCGTCACAGCTCCATATGTAACAGCTGTCCAGTATATAGAGCCCACCATGATTCCAGCTGCAGCAAATGGACATGCCTTTGAGATCAGTCGATCTGCAAGATCCAAAACGTAAACAACTGGACCTATGATAAAGGAAAAGTAAGGTTTCAAGAGATATATATATATATATATATAAGCATACTGAAGAAAGCTCTCAGCACCTGTCACTGATAAGAAAGAATGAACTTGGGAAAATACAAGTCTGACATCCCACACATAGTGTTTAAATGAGAACACAATTAAGAAGCTACAAGCTAAACTAGTAACTTATTTCTACCTACAATTTCATTCACTGCAACATCTGAGAGATTAATATACTGGTTAGAGCACTAACTAATTTACCCACTAAAGTCGATTAGCTTCCTTTGTGTTGAATCAGAATTGTTCTGTTGTAGAAACCATTTTAGGCTTAGTGGCTTTTTTGTTAGATATTTTAGCTTTCAAAAGGAAGAAATACTAATTAGTTTAATGTACTTTATGGGCTTATCTTTGACAGCTTCACCTGAAAATTCTGTCAGTAAACTATCCTGCTCTACAGTAAAATGTAGCACAGTCAGTATGAAAGATTCCTTCTGATGGAAGAGGCTGCATTCAATATTTTTAGAGGACCATGTCTCAGATGTTGGAGGAAAAAACCCTCCTATTCAGGTTATTTAGTGCCTTTGACAACAATGCATGAATAGCGTTCTTTGTTCTGTTTGTGGGCAACTGCACTTCCCAGACTTACACAGGGCACGACATTACCCTGGCCGACTTTGGTGAGGTAAACAAGGGCATGCTTGCATCTTTTATTTGAGAGACTGCAAGAACACCAGCAAAAGCCAGAAGTTGAAGTCTGAAATGTACGCATGGAAGTGTAAAATGTCATCACCATGATCGGATTCCACATTACTTTTGTATTTGTCAGCTAATTCTACATAGACTGTCCTCCTCCAGCTCATATGCATGACTAGTTCTTCTTAGCTCCCTCCTCCTTTTTCCTACCAAAATCAGTGAAAATAGTAAAGTTATTCTCAAAACCAACCAATAGGCATTCTTCAAGTAACTAATCTTCCATGTCTCTCATCATGGTTTACTCACCCCAGCCTATAATTCTTTTACTGCTTCCTAATATTTTTGGGGGGGTGGGCAGGAAGGGTAGGAAAGGAGTGATTTCTTCCACAATGGTGTTAAATGACTTACTGAAGTCCTAATACACGAGATGTACTGGACTTCCACTAGACGCATTTCAATTGCCAGGCCAGTTAGGCGATGGCCAGGCTGTTCTGTACACCTGTCCCAAGTTGTATGCCGTTTCCCTCCTGACCTCCAGTCAAAACTTGTTCTGACAGAATTTGTAAGATTAGGTGCCAAGGATTTTTTTCTTTTTCACCTTTCTAAACATAAAGGTATTGTAGTTGGCATTCTCCAAATAGACAAAATCACCCACAGTTCAGTTCTTAGCTGGTATACTCCGATTACACAACAATTTTATATTCTTCATTTTTTAGGGTGGTGATAACTTAGCACCCTGTTCCCAAAGAGACTGACTCCGAACTATCATATTTATACCAAATGAATTAAAAACTGTGCATTTAAACACAAAATCAAGATTTGAAATTTACTTCAGAAGTTCACAGAAAATTTATTTCCATCAGCCACACTGACAAAATTGTGACTCCTGTTTCATGACTTGGTTCTTATCTTTCAAGAAAACAGCTCTAGTGCAAATGCTTTCAAAACAACCAGTTCTACTCAGCTCAAGTCAACCAGTGAAAACAAGCAACAGGAACATCTAATTGAACTCATTCATTGTCACATTTTATCAGCACTGGTTCTTGTAAAGCACTCTCAAATACATCTGTTTAGTGGTAGGCGTTTCCCCCCCAGGTTGTGGTGGTGTTTTTTTTTGTTGTTGGGTTTTTTTTGTTTTTGTTTTTTTTTTAAGAACAGGGTAGGATTTTACATACTATTTGTACAGTGGTAGCATCCAGCAACCCTGTAGAAGGATTGCAACTTTTTTTTTTCCATACACAGGTATGTGTGTGAATACCATACTAAAGAGCTGCAGTTAAAACACATTTCGCTTATATGCCATCTTGACAGAAGTAATTGTAAATATTGCCAAGTTATTTAACAGACCAGTGGGCAGTCCTAAGCAACTTGGGCAGAATATTGCTAAACGTACTCTCTAGCTCTGCTGGATCCTCAGGTTCTTAACCTACTGCTCAAGTACTTCAGACTGGTTACCTTTGCGTGCATCTTCCAGTACAGCATGCATTCTTTGTTTCATAATAAGCTCTAATTTTAAGGGCAGGAAGCATCTTCCTATGTGGCTTCTAAGACAGTAAACACCTCACCAGCACCCTGCTTCAAATACACCAACCAGTGTAAATTAGCCTGTAAGCAGCTGACAAAATGTAGCTACAGAGTTAATTTATGCTCAAGCTGAACATCCTATTATTGATTAGGTACCAACATTAAAGAGTTTCTGAAGATGGAACTCTACTCAAAATACAAAGAACTGGAACAAGCAGTTCAACTGTATAACAGTCATGTTTAACTTACCCGGACAGACTTAAGAAAGCACTGGGATGTCAATCAACATGCTGAAAGTAGCAACAAGGTCATAACTGGAAGTACTAAATGCACGGCAATTTGCACATCTTGACTGTTTCCCACAGTCACTGAAAAAGTTGTTTAGTTGTACCATTTGGAAAACTTACACTCATTTGAAGAAGGTGAAGACAAGAGACTCAAAAAACCCATCATATTTGGTGAGTCCTGATGGGCAACACAAAGCTCTGAAGCTTGGCAAGGTAATATCGCAACAGTGGAAGGCTAACACTAGAAATACTCAAAAATTGTACCTACTGATACTAGTCATTAAAAGCAGCAAGCCACAGAATAAGGTATAGAATCTTGAGAAAAGACTAGAAAAACCTTGTTTTGTTTTGTTTTTTTTAATTAGCCCTTTAGGAAGGAAGTGGAGAGAAAGGAGGACAAATCTAACTTTCTCTTTAAGATGGTATTAAGGAAGAAGCAGGAAATTAAGTATCATTGACACACAAATTAAAGAAGGAAGTACAAAAATATTTTTCATTTTGTAAAAACTATCGTGCTTTTACAGAGCTTTTCCTGCCAAACTGTTTTCTATTTATTAAACTGAAATAATGATCTAAAAGATACTTTGGTTATTTTCCAAGTGGCAATAATATTTTTTTATTTAATAAAGTTCTCAGAAGAGAATAGCTAATAAGAACATAGTTACTACCAATCTCTAAAACTGATATGCACTATCAAATTTGAAATGGAATTATTTTTATTAAGAAGATACATCACTGGGGGGGCTGTTTTGAATTCGTAAAATACATAAAGACACCCACTGTTACTTATAAAGACATTCTTTGACGTCTCCTCAAGTTGATATTACTTCAAAACTATAATCATAAATAAAGCAAGGTGTGTTAGGGAGTGCCCCTTCACAGAAATTTGTTTTTAGAAAGAAGTTTCCAGCAGTCCATTAGAGAAGTCTTAATGTAAATAAGTTTCTGAACTATGATACCTCAGGGAAACTTCAGTCATTACTTCTTCCCTGCTCAAGTAATTTTAGTTTCTTGAGTGGTATGACTAGTAATATCTTCTGAAGATACCTGCTGCAGCGGAGACGGGGCTACTGGCAAGACTGCTTGAAAACATCTTACTGTCCCAACTCTGCCTGGTGTGACCTGGACTGACTTAGAGTGGAGTTGTGATCTAACGGTTTTGGGTTCCTAGAAAGAGCTATGAAAGGGCAAGACTGTCTCCCTTGTTGAAGGCACTTCAAGCTCGTGATTGATGTTTGATGGACCCAAATTAATTTTCATGTCTTGCGTACTTTTACAACAGTCTGAATTTATGCCCGTCTCATCTTTAAAAATAGAAAAAGATGGTATTGTGAGGAAAAACACATCATGCATGGGCTGAACAATCTCGTGCAAGAATTTTAGGCTGGCTTCAGAGGTTAGGAATGTTAGCATTTAGCAATCTTAGCTTTCAAATAAAGTATGCCACAAATTGCAAGAACAATGAAAATGCCTGTTGTTGTTTATGTGCATGTATCCTCTCCAAACTGTAGTTGCTTCCCCTTTTTCCCACTGCCAAAACAAAATGCAAATGCAGCTTACATTACAATTTCGTCATTCAAGATAAAAGTGAGAATTTTAAACAGCTTCAGTTTTGTGGTACATTCTAAGTGTCCAGATATCAAACAGTTTTTGTCCCCAAAGCCAATAGTAAACCTTATAATTTGATGCCTTCTTTATGATGGAGATCCTCTCTAACTTTATCCATATAGCAAAGCTGAATTATGGTTGATATATGAATAACTTGGTAGTAAGTTTCATGGTGGTTTATGTTTTCTTGAATATCAACAATACACTAGTCCGTATTTTCTTTCCTACTACTTAGTGTTCTATCACAGAAATAAGTGTCATCAAAAATTCCCTTCACACCTTAATTTTGTTAGCCCTTATACTAAAAGAGGTCCTGTCCCAAAGAACTGACAGTGCAAGTTATTTTCAGCCGTTTCATGACAGAAATAAGATACTTAAAAAAAACTCTTTAAAATCCTGCAAATGCCTGCACTCATGTGCTATATCAGCATTTCTTTAACAAGCTTTTTTACTTATAAACAAAATTTAAGTTTCCATGGCAACATTTCACTTTCTTGCCCTACTTAATATACCCCATAGAACATACAGGCAAATGAGGGCTGGAATAACAGCAACCACTGCTAATTTAAATATATGCAACATATTTCACAGTGTGCTATTCTGCTACTCAAGTAAGTAGGCTCTGGAAGAACATCTCCAACTTTTTTCCTTCACCTTGACAAACAGAGCTAAGATCTAGAGCAGTGCCCAGCAACCACAGATATTCTGCCTCTTGAATACAGGGCAATATTGACTCAGGAATACCTCCCAACAAAGTAAAAATAGTTTTTCGGGTAGTACAACAGGTTGCTCAGTAAGGTTCTCTGAATTTCCTTTGATGACAGTTTCTCTGCTAACTGAGGAAAAAAAAAAGGATGTGTTTATGTGCTAATATGTGGCAACTGCTGAAAGAAATCACCCTTTGCTCAACGAGAAAAAAAATCACATTAACCATGAATTCATTATAGGTCAGTCACTTATAAAACTTATCACTATACTTAAGTGGAACACATACAAAATTTTCAGAAGGTATTTAACTAAGCCACCAAATAGGATGCCAGCAGAATAAAGTTATTTCTGTCTGGAAAAGGGAATAGACAAGTTTTCAACAGAAGTGATGCTCTGAGTTCAAAAAAAGAAAAAAGTAGGAACAATAGAAAGAAACAACACATATTATGTTTAAAATGTAAATGATGCATATCTTACCTAGCTTTGGAAATACTATTAAATATTCTGCATTGCACTGAGGACAAGCAACTCTAGCAGTACTGTTTCCTCTTTGCTTTTCATCCACCCAGCGCTGTAGACAAGTCTGATGAACCCATTTCGTCGAGCCCCTGCACCTGCAAGGTCTCACCCACTCTGCTGTCCGATCATCCTCATCGGTAGCAAAACAAACCCAGCAGCTTCTGTAATTACAGGAAGGAAAAAAGAAGATATTCTTTGCTACTTTTATGTGGTTAAAATGAACTTTCACACGTGAAAGCATGTAGCTTTAGAAAATGTGCACCTAGAGGAGATGATGCTTGTTGCTTCATTAATCACCAAAAGTATTTTGTACCAGTCTTGTTCTGGTGTTACTATTGCAGACATCTAAACAACTGCTTTTAATACATTCCGAATTACTAATTTAACTTTTAGATAATTCATGAATTAAAAAGCATTGAGACTATATTTCAACCTCAAAATTTGTTCAATAATTCAACATATGAAAAATCCATATATTTTTAAATGCGTTATCATCTCCTGTTACAGCAGACATTTTGGTAAGTTTTAAAAATGAAAAATATAAGATCAATATAGTAGTCTGTTACTTGGGAAATGAACCCCAATCCACTTAAAGGACAAAACAACACAGATGTACAATGTATCACAAACCAAACTGTAAACAGTTATATTCAATTCATTCCCTCTCTTTGAAAAAAAGAAAGTACTTCATTCATATAAATAGACTTTGTATAACATAAATTTGAGTTACAAAGTACTTCAAGAATATTATCGTACCACTAGAGGAAGAAATTTCTGCACTAAAGAATTATCTGGATGTATAAAATTAAGACATACTAATTCTATAAGGAGAAAACACAAGACTGACAGGCTAGGTGACCTGACCTGAAGAGAACACACATCCTGGTAATTCCCGGATATCTGATCTCATGATTAGGCCAGACCCTTGGACACTTTACAACAGGAAGTAAACTAGATCTAAACTAGGAAAATATCGGATATGTTGACCCAATAATCTAGTTTTTACTGTGAAATAATTTGCTAATTCCCATACTGAAGATATTGAAGTTAAGATAATAAACCAGAATCTTGCAAAAAAAGGATCTTACTCCAAATGTAATCTAGTTCGATATATTTTTTAGAATAAATACTTTACACAAGCCATTGCAATCGTAGTTAAAGCTTTATAAAAAGTATACAGCAACAGCATCCCTATAATTTATCAAGATACAATCTAATTGGACATTATGCACTAGCTGAAGTTTTGCAGCACTATTTTGATGCCCGAGTTTTGTTCTCTTGATTTGAGTAACATCATTAAGATGAAACTGTAAAAGGCTTCTTATGTGTAACCACTAACAGACAGTAACTGAGGTAGAAGCTGAGAAATGCTCTGGCACTACTAAACAAAATAACGTTAAGATTCAAGAATCATGACTGTAGTCTCTATGTGGGGATGTTACAGAGGTTCATGACACTTTTCCTCTCCCTACTCTAGTGTTGTCAGTCATAAACCTTCCTCCTAGTCTTATAAACTCTTCAATCAAATTTTTTCCTTGTTTCAGCTTCTCAACTACTGCTCACCTTTATTCCCTGTCATCCTCATATTTTTTGTTTCAGTCTGCCCTTTTGGCATCCCATCTCCAACCTTTGTTAGCACTGGGAGGAGAAATTACAGTTTAGAAGTTCCCTCCAACTCTACTAATTTTCCCAGACTGTCATATTCTCTCTTATGGAAATCAGTGCTAAATAGTTATCAGAAAATTTGACAAATTTATACTTTAACATATACGTACTGAAGGTCTTTCCTCTGCACTGCTTCCAAAAAGAAAAAGAAACAATGCTTGTAACTAAAAATTGTTAAGACAAAATTTAGAGGGCAACTATATGCACAGCAAAGGCCAATTTTACTAAAGCCACTTTGAAAGCAACAAAAACAGAGTAATTCCTTTAAAAGGTTACTATTTTTCTCCCTAGCATGTCACTTGTAAACAAGTTGTGGGTTTTGGTTTTAACCTCTATGAGAAAAAAGAGGAGGTGGGGGGGGAGACGGGAAATCTACCATGGGATACTTGAATGTCAGGCTGAAACCTGAAGTAATGAAAGAGTTTGTTGTCTTAACAGCTTCCTTTTAAGACTGCACTATTTTGGATAGTATTCCATTTGTAAACTGAAAATGTTTCTCTACAGAAGAATAACCATGCTTTGCTGATAGGAATAACTGTACCTATAAAATACCTGCAAGAGATTTATTTTAAAGCACTGAATCTTCTTCTCATTTGTAGTGGTGGAAGTATACTGCAATTAAGTTGTGAGTGTGTAAGAGCAGAACTGTAGCAACTTATTACTGGCATACTTGTGAAAGGGAACACAATTTGAGATGCAGATTCCAGGGAAGATGGCAAGAAAAGCAATTTAATATTGAACAGTAGGTAAAACAAACAGACTGTCATGTCCACATGTCCAGTTTTAAGTACAGAACATACTATAATAGGCGCAGATGTGAATTTTTAACATTTGTGCTCTAAAACTACAACTGCATCAGTTTTCATTCAGGATGACTGTTCAGGTGGAAGACTGACATCTCGAATCAGAACTGCAATTTCTTCCATTTGTCTTACTGTGAAGGCAAAAGCAAGGTCTGACTTTGCTTCTTTCTGTCCTTCCCCACAACATCCGTTTAAATCAGAATTGCAGTATTATGCACTCCTATAATACCATCCCTCTTCACCTTCATGCTCCCTATGTGCACCTATAGCAGCCCTAAATGAAAGGACGCGTTAATCTTCCCAAGTAGGAGGAAGAAAGACAGCCAATCCACAAGTTAGTAAGAATCTAGAGGAAAATGCTGAGACCACCACAAAGATTTGGAAGTATTACAAAGCATGGCAGACATTTTGATTCATTGGACGTGATATCAAGGAGTTCTTAAGGAACACAAGTTCTTCCAATGTTTATTCATTTTTCTATTCACACTAAGAAACCACAAAGTTACTGTAGGAACAACCAATACAATACTACCAATAATTGTTCGTCTCTGACAGTTTCTTGCTGCATTAAAGGTAAATGTTCACTCGTTCATTCCACATCCTATTTAAGTCTAAAGCTGCTCTAAATTTGTAACTTCGATTTTTATTTTTAAACTGAAGGCTTCACAATAGAGCTAATTAGGTCTGTGGGTACCACTGAGATCAGATGCCACCACACCACAGAAGTCTAAAGTTTACTCAAATAATGACAGATTTAAGCATGAACTTAATCTTGCTGCACTGCAATTTTAACTAGTGAATTTGTCCATGAATACTCTGTAGATTAAACTCCATTTGAGTTTTCTGTTGAGGTTAATAAGTCAAGAAAAATATGCATCTTTTCTTTAATTGCTTCATCCAATTTCTTGCCAGGCAATCGTATCTGAAAACCTGAAAAGCCCATGGAAAGAATAATAAAAAAATAAATCCTTTACAGACTTAAACCTTTAGCAAGTCATGAATAATGAACAGTAAATTCCTTGTATTCTGTCATCAGTTTTATCTCTTTCCATTGACAGCAGCTGTGGCAGAAAGGGCTAAATAAAACCATTTCAAAACAAGTATCTTGGCTCTTGCCAGATTTTCCATTTTCTTGTACTGAATAAAATATGACCTTGATTCTTACCACCGAATCAGGTTGCTACTCAGATAACCTGAAATAGAAAAGGCTGACAAGGTGGAACAAAGCATTGTTTCTGACAGAAACTCAAACCTTTTTCTTTGATGACTTTCTACAGAGCCAAATCAATAACACTAATGTATTTTTCCACACTTCCTTGGCTTAAGAAAGAAACAACCAAACAAAACATACACAAAAAACATGACATATTATTTCAGCTTTGAATATAGGGTTACAAATGCCTTTTAGATTCAGCTCCCCTGCATCTAAAGCTCTCCGGTCTCAAAAATTCTATTCTGACTCCAGGAATAACTCATTTATTGCATCTGGTTTTTTTCTCTACCAAAGACAAACTCTCTTCAGGATATTGCATATGTGAAGAGCAGAGTGAATAGAGACGAAGTTGTATTAAAAACTAGAGATCCGACACTCCAAATGTTTTATGACTACTCTAGAAAGCCAAGGCCTGCCTAAAAACAGGCTTCTCCAAACCACGAGTTTCTCATCAGTAAGGAAGCCACTCTCTTCTGTACCTGGTTGGAGTTACAGCTCCAACACACCAGTAAAATCCTCCAGCACCAGCAGACACATCTAGAGGCAGACTGCTTTCCTTTTATTGAGCTGTACTCCTAAAGGTTACTTTTTCCCCAAACCAGTCTCAGATGGGAGGGAGGACAGGACCTAATAAATGTTCTTTAAATCAAATCTGCCTCAGTCTGTGGGAGCTGAATTCACCATGATACAGCTTTGTTTTCAAGCAGGCATAACTGTGTAAGCAATACAAAAAAGTAGTTTAAAAGCAGTATGTTAATTATATATACACTAGTAAAAAGTTTGCAGAAATCTTTAATGCCCCATACGCCCAGCAGATATCCTTGTGACGACACTTAATGGAAGATGACTTGTGAGACTGAGACAGCACAGATGCTTTATAGGCTGGTTTAAAATATTCAGCACTGCAAGACAGAATGCAAAAAGCCTTGGAATTTTGCCCCTGATGTTCAGTGGCACACACATAAAAATGGCAAGCAAAACCAGAAAACTTCTGAGAAAACAAAATTCTTGCAAGACTTACCATGGGAAATGCAAATATGAACATGCATGACATACTCTAGAGCCATGAGCTGAAAAGCATTTTTCCTCTCATTACAGATCCTTCAAAAAGATAAGAAATCTCTTTAAGAAAACTCTTCTGCATTTCTCCCACATCACAGAGCACACTGCTTCCCCTTAAAGCAGCACGAATTTGCTGGTACCTTGCTATTGGAGTAAAGCATCCTTGCTCTGCTAAGCGTTAAGTGACCGAGTGGCTTATTCCAATTGAATTTCACATCCAAAAAGAGAAAAGTGAAAAGGCTTGCAACGTAACTGATAGCAATGATAGCACATAGAGCCAACGCAGTGAGGGGTGAAAATGTATCTTGGAAGAACTGACTGAAAGCACTCCAATAGCTGGCCATAAAAAGGCACTGTTCCAAAGGATGACCCACAAATCTGCTTTTTGGAAAAGGCAATTTTTCATGAACTTCCATAA